TTGTGGGATATCCGAGGCGTGATCTATTTTGAACTCTTGCCAGTTGGAGAAACGATGACTGCCCACAAATATTGTCAGCAATTGGTCGAATTGAAGAAAGCAATTGATGAAAAATGTCCGATTTTGGCCAATCGCAAAGGAGTTCTGTTCCATCATGACAACGCCAGGCCACATGTTGCAAAACCGACCCTGGCCAAACTGAAGGAGATGAATTGGGAAATCGTGCCGCATCCCCCATATTCATCCGACATCGCACCTTCTGATTATCATTTGTTTCGATCGCTGCAGAACAATTTGAATGGAAAAAAATTTAAATATGTGGAAGACGTCAAAAACCACTTTGACACCTTTTCCAACGAGAAACCGCGCGATTTCTATGAATCAGGCATCCGTAAATTGGTTGAACGTTGGGAGTGGATTGCCGAACATGATGGCGAATACATAATTGATTAATAAAAGCGCTTTCTTCAAAACATTTCAATTTTAGTTTGCACTTGAAATCGGGCACGAACTTATGCACTCATCCAATATAAAAACGTCTGGGTAAAAGAAAAAAATTATATTCGAATTATAACACGTTGATCATGTCGAAATGCAGTTGTATTCGAGTTGTCGAAGATTTTTCAATTTGTTAATGCAGCATGATGAGACGCGTCCATTCCAGTCAAATTGCTCCATTAGCTGATTTTTCCCTACGATATGGAGTCCCCTTAAATAAGCAAATATAAAAAGCAATGAAAAATTAATTACTTAATTAATCCAAAATATATCGTTACCATAGCTTGCACAGGATCCTCAACGTATATTTTTCGCTTCTATTTGTTGTGAAAAAAACAATAAAAAATGGCGTTCCACTCGAAAATAAGAAAATAATATTACATAAAACGGATAATCCGTTCAAACTGTATTCTTCTTCAGTTTTACTGTATTCAGATGTTAGTGCTGCCCGGAATCGTATGAGTGTATTGGAGAACTCAACAACTCGTTCTTGCAGGGCAGATTTGTTAATTCCCGAAATACAAAAGACAGCTCTCGTTTCAGTTACCATTACCAATAAATAGCATATAAAAAAAATTAAATAAATATATGTATTTGTTATAGAAAATACATAGAAAACCTAGCATAACCCGCAGCGTAGGCAAGAAATAAAATAAAAATTAATTTTCTAACAAAACAAAGCTGTAAGAGAAATAGTAATAATTACATATGTATATATATATGTATACTCGTATATAGTGTTAAGCTTAAGTGAGTCTAAATAAAATTTTATTTTTACAGAAAAGCAAATAAAATGCCATTATTGTATATCATAACATAGTTAAATATATAGTATATAGATGCCTATAAATATGTATGTATTTATATATGTAAATAAACTGATAACGTACGCCATGTAAATAAATTTCAGAATTATTTAATCAAAATATGCCTAACTCTAATATATGTAATAATAAAAGGGCAATAAAACACACACAAATATATATATATATACCTATAGATATATGGACAATGAATATGTAATTGCAATAAAAAGATGTACAATATATTAATAATAAAACCAATAACAGTATATTCATTCTTCTTCTTACCATAAATTACCAATAAAAAAAACTAACAAAAACGTGTAGTAAATTTTTATAAATATTTTACAACAACAAAATTCGCTGATAAAAAAAAGCTACTCGAAATTTGTAGCACTTGAAATTATAACGCTTATCTCGAACAACTAACACGCTTTCATTTCCTTTAATAAAAGAAGTGGCATTCTTATTTTTTGTATATAATATAATAATAATGTATATAAAAAATAATCTGTAAAATCTTTTAATATCTTTTAAGTATAATATTAACGTAAATTAAATTTAGCATTTACTTTTTCAGCTCATTGTTCCATTGATTTGTTTTTGGATTTTTTGTTTAATGTTTTTGATATCAAATCTCATACAGGGTGCGTCATATGCTTTAGTGTTTGAAATTTGTATAGTGTCGCCATATTTTAAGACATAATCAAATAAGGAGAGTCATTATTTCAGGCTATTTTGTGTCATGAATCAACTAACACCGCTACAACAACCACAATGGTGGTGCTGAGTTTTGGTTCAATTATGGGCAAAGAAACTCACTTCAATAACTAAAATTGACGATATTGAACCTATGGAAATTCCTATACAATATTCTAAGTATCTCTCCATAATCAAAAAACGACCGTTTAGTGCGTCACTTTAGCCAAAAAGGTAATTTTTTCGAAAACGAGACTACGATGGATGGCGTGCGCTACAGAGCGATGCTGTGTGGTTTTGTGTTTCCGGAAATAATTGAAAATGATGTGGCTCACTTTTGGTTCGAACAGCACGTTGCTACAGCACGTACTAGTGGCGTGTCGATGACACTACTCTGCATGATATTCGATTGGCGTATCAAATAGAAAAACGGCGCTTTCGACTGGCCACAACCCTCACCCGATTTGATGCCGCCGAATTACTTTTTGTGTTGGTTTAAGAAAAACAAAGTTTATATCGACAAGCCGCAGACGAAATACCAGCTCAAAGCCAATATTTGCCAGGTAATATCGCTTATTGCCATCGAGACGTTGAAAAATGTCAAGTAAAGGGGCATCCTTTTGCATTAAAATCAAGGCGGCTATATGTTAGATATTACATAGACATAGGTCGTAAATAAAAAAGGAAGCAAGAGGTGAAGTATGGCTAAAAAAATTAAAATTTTTTTAATATAAAATGGCACACCCTGTATATAGTATAATGAAATTTTTTCTACATAATGTAAGGCATGTTGTAGTATTAACAATAAGTGGGAACGCTTGCAGGTAGGTCTTCCCCCACGCCTTTCCAAACACCAACCACTCAATCAATGAAACCATGAAATTTGTAAATTTTTTCTTTCATTTCCAGAAATAACGTTTTAGTTGATATCCAACCTTCAGAAATAGTTTGTAATTGTTCGATAAATTCCTTCGAGTACTTTTGTCATATTTTTTCATATTTGTCCTGCAGGGAAAAATAATATTTTTCTTATCCTTTAAGAGCTGGTTAACTTCTGAGAGTAAATATAATTATTTATAGCAAAAAAATGCTCAGGTTGGCTGATATTTCTTGCTTACCACATAAAAGCTTTAATTTTCGGTTGTATTTTAATGCAACAGTTAGTACACCCTGGGCTCGGTTGCATGACTCCTCAGAAGAACAGATTTCACAAATCTAAAAATGCGTTTCCTTACAGCAAAAAAAGCCACCATTGTTTCAGTTCCACCGAAGAACGAAGAAAGCACTCACAGATCTCGTATCAATCATGGTTTACTCGCTTCTAGTTGTAAACAATTGCGGTGTTGGCTGGATAATCAGTAAGCTATGCGATCTGTGAAAATCAGAAACGACTAATAACGTGCCACTTTTGACTCGGCTGCAATTGAGTAACGTTAAATACACTAGATAAGACTAGAATTGTGTTCATGTGTGGTGGGACAGGCTCGCGACCATGACTATCTAGGCCTGCCTTAGTTGAGCCAGTATGTCGAACGACTAGGTGTTGACAAGTGACTGATTAAGTGGAGTAAAGTTGAACTGCTTGAAAACTCACTTTGAACTGGGCAGGCAAATGAAAAGTAAAGCGCTCTCTCGAAGAACCAACCAACCAAACGTTATTAGTCTCTCTTCATTCCTCACATAGTAGATGCCGGCGCCTTTATGATCCGAATCCGATTAGTCGGACTTGGAATGAAGAGAGAGTGGCTAGTTTATTTCATGTCATGGAGAATAAAATTACTGCAGTTTTGAAAGTACTCTATGCAATACTCACGGGTGGAGGCAGAAGAAGAGGAAGACCGCCACATTTTTGGAAGGCTCATGTGGGGAGTGTGATGGAATAAGGAGTGGCTGACGCCTTACAATTGATAGGCGATAATCACATAAGCGGTGCATAGGCCAATGAAAGGAAGAAGAAGGTTAAACTGCTTGACTCTACAAAGTTTCACATAGACAAAAGACATATGATCAAAGCTGTACTGCTACACCGCTTTTGAGTATTTATTTCGAAGAGTATTGCTGTTCAAATTTACAAGCCGGAGTTGGCGTTTTAGTCCGCCTTACTGTGCTGCCTATTGTTTTTCGGTCTGTCGATCGCCGGCTACTTGAAGATTTCGTACTACGTGTATAGTGTCAGCGTTTGTAAGCTCCTTGCAGACTCGAAAATATGCGAAGCCAAAGCGTAATTCTCCGTTAATAGTCCTAGAGGCAGTTTGGAATCTAACCTGGTTCTTTCTTCTAAAAACTTAACAAATTCCTGTCATATGTTTTGAATCTAGTTTGGCATTTCTGTACCCATTTTCTCATTCCCAATGTCATTTGATGAATGGGACTGATGAGTCCAAAGTAACGTTTTTTCCACCTGACAACCCGTAAATGTGGAGCCTCCATTTCTCAGCCAGTCTTTTGATTGTCTCTTTATCACCTTCTGTGAAGATTTCCCTCCCTGAGATTCTTTTCCGTCTTTTTTTTCAACAAATTTTCTCGGAATGGAATGCTGGAAATTCAAAATCCGTAGGTCCTCTCCAACTTTTATTGATTTGGTGTTTTTTTCTTGACCTTACACCATTCTAGAGTCCCATTAAAAAGAATCGGCTTAACCAACGCAAAGACGATCTTGTGCGAGAGAGCAGGTAAAAGCCCCTGGTGGAATTGAAATCTGTCTTTCTTCCTGTATACCCAATCAATAATGGCTTCCACATTCGCTAAATCACTTTGAGCTAAGTTGAGTTCATATCCAACCCAATTCCCTAATACTTAGTGCAAGTTTCCGGTTATAAATGGACCTCACTAAGTTTGACGTTTGAATGTCCTGGTGAATAGAACTAGATATGTTTCATCAGTGTGAAAGTTAGGACTGCTGAAATAATTTCCAGCCGAGCTCTTCCCTTAATTATTGATGAGCGTCATGATGTTTATTCCAGTCTATTCTAAGCCGTCTTTGAACAACAACAACCTTTATTTACCTTTCGTGAAATCAAAATCGTTTATTAAAAGTTTTAGACCAACAAACCAGTAACACTTGGCAAATCAGGCAGATGACTCACTTTTTTCTTGAAATCATCGACCTCACAGGCATACGAGTAGCCGGCAGTGATGTCGGTGGGCTTCCAGTTGACATAGTCAACTTTATCAGCCACATCAGTGCAGAGAATGTAGTCCTTCTTGATCTCCGCCAAAGTCAAATGCGGATTGTTGACGCCAATAAAGACAATACCCTTCTTTGTGGTGCGCTCAATCACAACGCGGAAATACAATTTAGGTACAGGAATCAGACCATTATTATTGCTATCATAAGCCAAATACAAGGGTGTCTGCACGCCATTCGCATTGGCCAACGTAGTCACACCGTACACACCCGTCCAGCAGTCTACATACCATTGCGCTTTGCTAACCTTCGCGCGCACACCATCCTCAATGCGCGCCCAATTGCCAGCGTTGAAGACCTGCCATTGCGGTGCAGCGTTAATGAATAGGAAAGTCGCGCGCTGCTCGGTGCCATAATCAAAATCAGCCTTGGCGGCTAAGTGACCACGTGCGAGATAGACATTCTTGCTGGAGTCAAAATATTTGCTCGCATCACCGCCCAACTGCTCATTAATCGTTGTCAGCTGCGTAGCTTGTGTGTACAGTTTGTCGACGTTCTTGCCGTCAAAGAAACCGCCAGTTTGGAAGGTAAGACGATCCACGCCAGTTTGATAGTAATTACTGCCGGGATTCAAATCGTGATGTACATAACGGGTTACCTCCTCGTCCTCATCAAAGCAAACCTTGTATTGTTCAACGAAACGACTGGAACTGACTTTGAAGCCAACACGTACCTCTACGCCACCGTTGCAGCTTGAGCCAGTCTTTTCGGCAACGAAAGAGGGCCAAGATTTGCAAGTTAATTCCTTTAATGTGTATGTTGTGCCATCCACCTTGAAGTTGGTGCCACTTACACAGGACGCGCTCACGAGTGTCTTATCGAGTGAAGTGAACTTACCGGGACACCACAAATCCAATTTTTCACCCGACTCAACAACCATAACACCGGTGGAGTCGTATGGATAGAATTCCGCGCTGTCGGACTTCAGGTAGACGGGCTGAGGTGTGGGTAGACCACCGCGTATGGTGACTTTGCAGGCTGAAATTGAGTATGAACGTTTATATTTGCGATTTTTTGCTAAAAATGTATAGTTCTCACCGGTGGCACGACCCTTCGGCTTATCATCCACAACGGGCGCAGGCGGCAACAGCTCATCTTCGGGTTCTACGTAATCATCTTCAGCTCCACTGATTGGCTCAACGTATAAATTGCGTTCGAAAACAGACTCCTCGGGTTTCTCTTCATCTGCGGAAGGTGCGACGTTATTTGGAATAATCACTTCGGGTGCTTGTTCCTCACCGATCTTAAGCCCATCGATTACGACCTCTGGTACGGCGATCACACCAGCTGTACAACCTTGGAGGAGGCAACAACTGCCAGTCACTAGCAGCAATAACGTCGTAGTTAACTTCATTTTAACCAACTTCGGTTTAATGCATGTCCAACAATTGCACGGGTCTTAAATACCAGACAGATAAGCACAGGTGGTGTGCCATTTCCCGCCCTTTCTCCCTGCGCCTTTGCCAAATTACTTTTGCTACTGATAATTAAACATTAAGTTCTCCACATTTAATGCTTATACGCCTTTTTATTTAATTATTGTTAGATAGCTTGGTTTTTGAAGCGGTTATCAGTTGAAAGTCTGTGCCAGCACTGATTTGCTTTATCAGAAAATAATTTGCGACGAACACGTTTCCTTAACCGTAAATTAATGATTATAAGAAGATGCACACGTGATCTATTGTAGTCTATGGGCGTCATAAAATCCATTAGCTATCTGCGAAAAACTTTTTAGCAAAACTTTTTTATTTTGCTTTTTGAACTTTCTACGCATTACAAATTACCATATCATAAACCATTTAAATAGAGGTTAGCAGAGAGTGTTAGGATTGTACAGCTGACTTTTATATGGACATAAATTTATCAAGCTTCATATCGATAGACGAGACGAATCGGCTCAGCCATGTCTCTCTTCCAATTGTCCGTTCGTCCGTTCATACGATCACTCAAGTGAGGAATGAGAAATTTTAATGAAACTTAGTTCAAATATTCCTTGGGTCACAGGGGCAAATGCTATTGCAAATGGGTGAAATCAGAGCTAGTTAACGTCCACCTCTCCTTTAACGGTAATTGATAAACTACATAAGTCAATTCAGTAACTACGAGGGCTTAACAAAAAGTTCGGTAGGCTGACTAGAAGAAAAAAGTCGTTATGTACTTAGTCTTATTTATATTATCTACATATTAGTCATGGATAACAGTCATTGATTTCTAAAGCCTATAGAACCACTTCTGAGAACAGTCTTCAATATCTTGCTTTTTAAGTTTATCAAGTTCAGTATTAACCGCGTTAATTATCTCCTCGTTGCTATTTTCTTTAAGATTCGTTTTAATTTTTGGAAATAACCACAAATCACAAGGTGCTCTATTCAGGGTATATGGTGCTGGACGTACATATTTCTTCTTATCAGTGAAGAATCGTGGTCGATCTTCTCGGGGCACGTCCTCTACGGAAAAGTGCTCGCTCTGAATCTTCGGCATTACTGCGAAATAGTCTTTAAAGATGGTGCAATCGTTTCGTGTGCAACTTGGCATTCGCAGATTATTTGTATTGACTGTAAGTTATTCCGAAACCCGAAGTGAATCACAAGGCGAATCTCTCTTTGCGTTGGTGGTGAAATTTCGCATGAACACAAAATCGAAATGGGCACAATCAGACAAAAACCACACCATTGGCCAATATTTACATAGATCCAGAAACTCGTCCATTTCCACTTAGATCTGCATTTTTTAATGACCTTCATAACAGCGTAGACGCTCCACTAATCTCTCTTCTTTTCGCAGTAGCCAAGTCACTCACAATTTGACGATTTCAAAGCTTCAAAACCTCAATATTGATCATTAGTTGAAAAATGAATGAAAATAATGTTAAATCGTTAACAGATAATGTTAAATTGTTAACAGATAATGGTAAATCGTTAACAGATAATGTTGAATCGTTAACAGATAATGTTAAAGCGTTAAGAGATAATGTGAAACGTTAAAATTTACGTTGGCAAAGAGTTTCTGCGGCTTCCACGTTAACGACTTCATTTCGTTTTGATAACGTGCCGCCGAAACGAGACGATTTTTTTTTGTTTAGTAATTTTTTTTTTTAGCGAAACGGAATGATAATTAATCTAATTATCGTCGGGGTTGTAGTGACGTGTGCCATGCATTATCTGGGCGAATCGCAATGAGCGATGGAGGTTCGTAGTCAAACCTTTCAGACTTATGAAAATTACGCGGAGTATTTTGCGGTGGATTCCCTTTTCATGCTTTTGTTGTTGTTTTTTAACTTTCTTTGATCTAGTCGTGTAGTTTCGCTGATTATTTCCGGACGAAAAATTAATTAACCAAATGTAAACGAATTTCTCGTTGAGTTTTCTTTTGCTTAGACTGAGAGTACTCCTTCCATTATACCCAAAAGAAGGAGTATCATAAAACTGAATGCTAAAGCTTACAACGTCGAAACTTCAACTGCAAATAAGCAAAAGTTACTTGCAAAGCTATGAACGCGGTAGCTATCTTTAAGGCATAAGTGGGTATTTTTATGGGTAAGAAAAAATAATCATTTTGAATAATACAAAGCAACCGGTGAGGAACAACTTATCATTCCTCCGAACGTCTCAAATTATTAACACGCAGAAAAGGGAAATTTACCAAAACAACACACCGCTGCTGCCAAGTCTAGACGAAATCGGTTTACAAGCGATTGGAGTACATAATTATCCTATGTCACATTTTCAAAATTTAAAAGAACGGAAAACTGAAAGAATCTTTAGACTCTCAGCTCTACCGACGCTCTTAAAACAACTCCATCGGCAGCGCTTTATGAAATCTATATATAATATAATCACCCACAGCCTAATCGATTGATCGTAGAGACATGAAACTTGAAGGGGTGTTCTGTGTGTGATGTTGGCCTCCGATACGAATATATTTTTCCGGGATGTGAACCTGGAAGCTATTGGAAAAAAAAATTGAAAATGCCTAACCTGACATGGAAATTATATTTTCTGCCGGGAAGTGGACTTAGCACCGATTTGTTCGAAAAAGAGCAAACTATTACTTGCATTAGGCAAAGGAGAACTTAGCATTCTTAGGGATGTATTTATAGAATATCTACCTTTGAGATATCGTCTCCACAAGCTAGGTAAAGTGGCCTATGCAGAGCATGCACAGAGGATGACACAAAGCTGAAGCACAGCCCTTGCTAGTGTTCGGCATCCAGCGGATTGAGACGTCACTTTTTCCACTATGCTCCCAACGCCAATTTCGCGTAGGTGGACACGCATGGTTGAGAGAAATTCAAAGAATTTATAAAATCATTCCAACTTTACGCAAACGCCTAGTTGGAAGCACAATTAGCCTGCTCAATGGATGAGGTGCGTTCAGGTCCTTAACTTCTCTATTTCCAATCAATCAAAGAAGTGAGGTTGATTAGTCGATAGGTTTAAAAAAAGTCCTCCTTTGTCTTACCAGAGAAGAAAATTACTAACGACCATCAATACATGAAACTGATTAATTAATATTATCTTTTTCTAAGCAAAATTTAAACTTATCTCTGTTTTAAAGAATTCACACTATTCAAGTACAAATTGATAAGCACCTATAAATTCTTATATTAAAAAAAATATATACATTAAAGGCTTCTGATAATTAGAACACGCAAACAATTATCTGATGAAAAATGATTTAAATTTTTATTATTGTACCAATCTACAGCGAAATTATAATCTAAACATCTTTTTCCATTCTTAAAGTGAACAGAGATATATCTGAAGAGTCACGTGTAATATAAAATATTCATTTTGCGGGCTTCTAATGTGGAGTAGAGCTACGTACGAGTACATTAAATAGCGATAATACATATATATGTATTTAATTGTTACCGCAAGAAATGGAAATAAGTATTAAAGTACAGGATTTTGTTCGAGCAGCTCGAGCAGCTCGAGCAACTGAGCAACGAACGCATATCAAGCGAGTTTCCAACTGCTCATATTGCTCTAATAAGTAATAAAAAAAAGTCTTAAAATTTGATTATGGTAATTTCAGTTTTCTATAAAAATTTCAACTCTAATCGCTTATTTGAGAAAATAATTTTTTTAAACTCTTATACATTTGCCTAATTTAATTTGATGCATAACTAAAAAGAATAAGAGAAAAATTCTTACGAATATGCCATATTTTTACACCTGCTTGTCCATTGAACGCTCAAATGGGTACCTGCCACGCCACTAGCTATTATAGTTTAAAATAAAAATCAAAAACCATTCCAACAGCTATGCCTGCGACCTCCCATTTACTCCCGCACTTACTTTGTAATTGCAAAATCACTTTTACTTAATGAGTATGACGCTGACAAAAACCTTCCACAACGTTTCTTGCCAGCGGCCGATTTCTTGGTGTCTTATCTGTTATAACAAACAAATTGGACGTGAAAAGATTTTCCGTTGCGGCAATAACAATCAACACTTAAGTTTAGGGTTGCGATTTGGTCCAGCACTCTTCAGTGCTCAGCCATAATTAACCACTTAAATATTCATTTATTATACGCCAACCAACGTGCATATTGTACAGTCAAAGGATGAGGCAAACTGGTGTATTGCTAAACGATGGAACTGCAGTCACTACGACAGGTTGTAATAAATGAGGCAACCAATGAGTTGTCAGCCGAAGGATAAAGGTGCGATATTTCTAAGCGCGAACTGTTTGGCAGAGCTTTCGGTGCTTATGCTTCAATATGTCAAAGCTTGGACATGGGCAATAATTAATGGAAAGTAGAACGCTTAATGTTTTAGATATATCTAAAGAAGAAAAAAATATGAAATGAAAAAAAAAAATAAAACAAACGAGGAATATAAAAAAATAAAATGTAATAAAACAAAATAAAATAAAATAAAATAAAATAAAATAAAATAAAATAAAATAAAATAAAATAAAATAAAATAAAATAAAATAAAATAAAATAAAATAAAATAAAATAAAATAAAAATAAAATAAAATAAATAAAATATAAAATAACAAAAAATAAAATAAAGCGCAATAAAATAAAGTAAAATTACATAAAAGAAAATAAAATATAAAAAAATTAAATAAAATAGAATAAAATAAAGTAAAACTAAAAAAAATAAAATTAAATGACATAAAAAAATTATGTAAGCTAAATTAAAATAAAATTAAATTAATCAAAATGAAATAAAAAATTATTAATCAAAATAATAAAAAATAAAAAAATATAGTACAAAATAAAATTACATTAAGCGAAATAAAATAAAATAACATAAATGAAATAAAATAAAACTTTTAATAAAAGTATTTTTAAAAAATAAAATTAAACTAGATTAAACAAAATAAAATATATATAAATAAAAAAATTAAATGAAATAACGTAAAATGAATAAAAT